CTCCCTGGAAAGTGAAAGTGACAGTTCATTAGGAGAAACTCCTGTTTTCTTCATTTGAATATTTTCCATTATCACCCCCTAAAATCCTGCAGGTGGGCCCCGAGTCTGGCTGTAAAAATGATTTCAATGGTAATTTTCTTCTCTTTCCTCTTTTAGCACAGTATTCTACAATATAGAAAATATTTACTTGTGATAGATTAAGTATGTTAATACTGTAAAGGCCTACTTAAAAAATAAAGACTGACATAAAACACTCTACACAAACTTGTAAACTACAGGCACACCTCCAAAAATTGGAATATTGTAAAAAAAAAAAAAAAAAGAAAAAAAATGTTGAGTATTTTCTTCCCGTCATTTCATAAAGTGAAATATATATTACATAGATTTAATACACAGCATGAACGTTTTCATTCTGTGTAATTATTATGGCTTATGGACAATAAGCCAGACATTTCAGTCTAAATTATTTTTATAACAATCTTACCTAAAGTTCCACTTTAGTGAGACACGAAATGTTTTTTTTGTCAATAAAAATGTCAAGGAATGAAAGCTTGCAATATTTCCCTCTAAGTTTCACTTTCTGAAAGACAAAAATATTAAATTTTTTCATATTTAATGCTTTTTTTATTATTATTTTAAAGCCTTTATGTCATTTCAGAAGCAAATTTAAACCTTTAAAAGTAATTCAACATTTCTGAAAGTTAACATGTCCTTTTGTTGTCCTCGGGATGAGTTTTACTCCCATGAATAAAGGGCGACACAGCTGCGTTTTATCTCAAATGTTTATTTAATCGTTGGGCCCAGGCCTTTGACACATCAGAAAGCTCCCACACACTCGCTGCCGAGACTGGAGATAAAGTCAGCACACTACAGTAAACTGTCAAGGATTCATTTTGTCATTTCAATACTGTCCGACGCTGGAAGGGAGACGGGTCGGGGGGGGAGGGGGGGGGGGGGCAATTCCGGGACACCCTTTCGGGAGGCCTCATGCAGAACCAGGGAA